AGATTTAACATGTTAACCACTTAACCTATATATATAATTATAGGTCGTGTTATTTTTATCACTTGAATGAGAGTAACCATTTATAACTAAATAATAATAAACATTAGAAGTTTAATAAGCACACATGTTGTAAACAACATACACATGTTGTAAACAACATTTTTGCAATTTTTCTGATCTCCCTCGTCCTTGCATTACTTGCATATCACGGACTTCAAGCCAGTCAGATTTATCACCTCAAAATTGCAACATATAACATACACCCTCACATTCTGTTTCACTTTAATGGGAAAAGTAATATTTAAAAATCAGATCTACTTTATTGTTTGTACAAAAATCAAACAACAACGTAGTTTGGAGTTCACCAACTTTCAATTACTTATTTCATTCATTTATACAGTCTTTTGTCTTTTGCTTTCTAGGGACCTCTACTATTAAAAAAATTAAAAATTGAAAATAATAATCCCAACTTTTGCCGATTCACTACTAATAATCCCAAGTATCGATTATTCCTGGGTGGTCCCAACTATAGGGACCATTTTCCAAAAATAGTCCCTAACCTGCTACAACCTGGTATGGCAGGTCAAATTTAAATGCGAACTATGCGTAAGCTATAAATAATCCCAACTATAGTCGATCTTCTTTTATTAATCCCAATTATCAACTTTCAATTTTAAAAAATATAATAATGTTTTTATAAATTGCCAAATTAAATATTTTTAAACATGTAAACATTATTATGAAAATTCTACAAATGCATCGAAGTTAAATAAAAATATTTTTAGTCATTTTTTATTTATAAATAAATAAAAAATAGTGAAAATAAATAAAAAATGACTAAAAATATTATATTTAACTTCGGTACATATGTAGAATTTTCATAATAATTTTTACATGTTTAAAAATATTTTATTTGAAAATTTATAAACTTATTTTTACATTTTTCTAAAATTGAGAGTTGATAATTGGGATTAATAAAAGAAGATCAACTATAGTTGGGATTATTTAGAGCGTATGCATAGGGCGCATTTAAATTTGACCTGCTATACCAGGTTGTAACAGGTTAGGGACTATTTTTGGAAAATGGTCCCTATAGTTGGGACCACTCAGGAATAATCGATAGTTGGGATTATTAATAGCGGACCGGTAATAGTTGGGATTATTATTTTCAATTTTTCCTTAAAAAAAGATTACACCTCATCCTTGAGAGAAAGTAAGTTGAATTTTAATCACGCACCAATTAAAAAAGAAGGATTCATACCAAGTCTTTTTTTGGAGTGAACCCGAGACTTCTCCTTTATGGCACCCTCTTTCTACTAAGTGAGCTACACCCCTGGTTTGAACCTGTATTATTTATTCACTTTTGGTGATAAAACTAAGTTTGCTTATGATTTTAGTACTTTATTATTTTCTAAAAATTCAGACGAATGCATTCTTAAATTGGGAGAACAAAACAAAAAATAAAGCAGGGTAGGAATTACTTGAGTATCAAAGTACCAATATCATAAAGAACTCCATCAAATCTGAGACACACCCCAAACTCCATTAGATAAAAAACATGATAAAAAAGGTTCATAGTCTAAGCATAAAATAGTGGTACAGCAACAGTCTTTGATAAAAATCTAAGGTAGACTATTAAAATAAAATGCAATGAAAATGCAAAAGAAAAGTTGGGATGTTTCCCTGTTGAGCACTTCAATGCTAATGGTGGAATACCATGCATACAAATTCATTTTATAAAATATCGAAAAACATAGTAGTATCCAAGTCTTTTGATTTCTGTTTCTTGCCCTAATAGAGCTTCTATTTTTGTTTCCTTAAATAAATAAAGCTTGAAAAGAAATTGTAGCCAACAACTTGTTGTCTAGAATTGATAAATAACAAATGTATGTAGATAAACTAACCTTGAAGGGCTGATTTTCAGTTTCAAATTCTATCCAGGACATGTATTTTAGCCAAACATGAAAGCATCTGTGCCAAACAAAAAATAAATTAACTTCATAAACTTCAATTGAAATATCATTTGGAGAATAATTAAACCTTTATTCACACTTCTGAACTCAATATCCTTGTAAATATGTATTTAACTACCAACATATATAGCGCCCCTTTGAATGATTAGGTATAAGTAATGCTGATTCGGAGTGAATTGAGAATGAAAGTTTCTGATAAGATTCAAAGAGTGAATTGAGGTCACACAACTTAGCTACATGGCAATTGGGACAAAGCACACTAAAAGATTGAATTCAACCTGATAGCTACAGTTTCAATAAAAATATTTCAAGTGTTAAATTATCGTTTTTTTTTTCAGTTCAACAGTGAGGTAGTAAGCTAAAAAAAATCTGTGAAACAAACAGCATGTGATTAGTAAAATAGGGAATAAATAAGACCTATGAAGGTCATATTAATAATATAAATCAAATTAACTGTCTAGTGGGCTCTATACTTGATTTTTTACACTATCTATTTTAATATAAAAACGAAAAATTGAGCTTAAACAAAAAATCTAATTTAAACAAAAAATATATAACTAAGCTAGAATGTTAAAACACTTCAGTTTTCTCATATAATCTACCAACTACTGATATGATAATACATTCATTAGCACACCAACATGACAACTTTCTATAAAAATATAAAATAATAAATATATGTCAAACATAACATCATGTCCTGTAAACTAAAGAACAGGACGATTAAGATTAACAAATGATATGTAAAGACATAAAACATAGATAAAACTCAAGCATATTACACGTCATCTACTAAATTATCAGTAACGAAGAGAGATTGGTTTTGAAGAAGAATTCAATGTTTAATTCCAAAAATGTAGGTAGAATTTAGTGAGCTTTAGCTTATCTCACCCTCTTTGGCAGGAAAGCTATGATTTGGATTCGTAAAACTTGTGCGGGTGAGGTGCTTTTGTGAGCTGAACTGGTTCAGGAGAGTTTGTTTCCTTGCATATAGTGTGCTTCACAAATATATTTTGTATAATCTTTCCTTGAACACTATCAATTATTGATATCTAGAAGCAATATACAATTGAGCCTGTACTTATTTAAAGATCTTCAATTACTGTGAAGTGGGCTTCATTTTTTCAAGAAGAAGCTAGACGTATTACCTCGGTTGATCTGAGAAGCAAATTAGGAAATTCGAAATGTAAAAATGCAGACGCGCACATATAGAGATACCTAAGATTATTAACAGTTATTGTCATCAGCAGCTTCATAGTAATTTTTTTTTTGACATAATAGATAACCAATTACCAATGAAGAGGGTAAATATCTAGATAACCTGATCAAGGAATTCTCAAATCTATACAAAATGCATCTTGCCGGCCAAAACTTACTTCTTATTTTAAAGCCCAATGAGTGATGTTTAAGGTGAACCAACCAGAGATATACAGAGCATTGGAGATGCTATGACATCATGACTTCAACAAACTATAAAAACATATTAATTTAAAATATATTATAACCCACTCGTTTTTTTATCTTCTAACTTTCAAGTAAACATATATGTTGTGAAAAAGGATTAAGGTAATCAAAAAATCTAGAAGAATATACCATAGACACTCTGTTGTACTCCACTTTTTGCAACTTATTTCCACCAGCACACCTTTTTTCTTGGACATCACCTGCTTCTGGTTTAGGTTTTGAGTAAATTCATCAAAGTTAACAATGAGATACGGGAACCAATGTATAACTAAAGAAGAAATTAAATTCCCGCAGAGGTAATCTTCTTTGAGCGAGTGTCCTGTACTTACGTAGCTACGTACTACGTAATATTTAGGAACTACCTAAAAAACCTTGTTGAACCACAAAACTGATTTGGAATAAGTTATAAAATTTGATATACATAATCAGACATAAAAAATAAATTAAGTTGACAGCAGGATTACTGGAATAGTGAATGTTAACCTTATTTTGGGCTGGAAGTCGCATGAGGCTGAAGAAGAGAAGAGAAGGCAGAGAAATCGGAACAATCCATCTCCCTAAACTGGACAAACAGAATGGATTTGAATGTGGACTCCGGAAGAAAGGCCATCTACATGGAATTCGCTAGATGTGTTTCTCGGTGCCAGTTGAATTGGAGCGGGCGTTCGGGTGTAGAAGAGAAGAGAAGATGATGGAGACGGAGGGAGTCGGAAAAGAAGAATATAGGAATCAGTTGAGCCGCTAATTCCCCCTATTTTCACTGCACCTGACATCAATTTTCAAATTGAAGAAGAAACTGAAACAACGGAAGAATATCATAAGAGAAAAGAGAGAAACCTTTAGGAGCATTTAATTTAGGGTGTATATAATAATTAATTATAGGGTGTTTCTAGAATTTGGGAGAGAGAAGCGGGAAAATCTACAGGAGATGGATTCTCCCTTTAGGTATATAGGATTTTTTTATCTTTCTTCTTTTTTTGTCTCTGATATGGATCGACTCGTGTTAGCCCTTAGTCGACCCCAAAATCTTTTGGGAATAAGACTTGGATGTTGTTGTAAGAAAGTGTCTCAAGGAAAAACTTCATAGAAGAAGTAATCAATTCAACACTAGGGAAAGTAACAAATAAATCTGAGCAATGTGAGATGTAAATAAAAGCAATCTGAAATTGAACCCACAAGACATCATTTTATACTAATGGAGACTAGGAAATTAAGGCTTATAGAATAGAAATCTTCATTAACAAAATGATTACAATGTGAAATAGTTGCACGCCAATGAAACGATGATGGGAGTATTCAGTCTAAGATGAGGTTTGGAGATTGTAAATGCCCAGGGTATAGAGTTAACGGTATTTTGGTCCCATTTTTACTCCATCCAGGAAAATCATTTTGATTGGAATAAACCCGAAGACTTTCTTCCACCAACCCGTTTAAGTACTTTAATTATATCTTGAGCCTTGAAGTTAGTCAAAATCAGCTCTTCATATCTATTTCACTTTTTTTAAGTTTCATAAAATGCTCTTAAACTGACATGCTTACTGATGTATGTAATGTATTTCCAAGGGGGGAGGCTCACACATAAGAACAGATTTCAATCACATCGGAAGCTCCATGCCCATGGATAGAGGAGGAAACTCTGCATGGATACCTGGCCTCATCCCAGACAATAATACACCAAAAGCGCAGCTGCCCGGGCCTCCCCCACCATTTCCGGGACAAATGGGAACTGGGAATCAATCCGCTCGACAACCAGCTGTATGTCATGCGTTCTTTAATTTTTGTTGATATTGTAATTTTTCTTATGTTATGCTTGGAGCCCGAAGACATCTAAGTGCGGAGATTTGGCAAAATTAGATGAAATGACATATGAGAAGCGTAAATGGACCTATAAATGTACAATTTATAATAATAAAGGAAGAAAATGATGACAATGATACTAACTATGGACAGTCTGCTTTAAATAAAACCACAACTAGATTTTATTTAAAATAAACCAGCAATTATATGTAATCCCAATAATTGGGTCAATCATAAAATGTTAGACCATTGGGTTAATAGCCGGTAATTGCTGGCTGTTGAAGTTTGGGTAGGTGACATAAAATGAGTTTGGGTAGACCATTGGGTACATCCTTGATCTTTTTTTAAAGATGAGTCAAGAGTCCAACAAGAATGTGTGACTTGTCAGCTAAGTAGCACCGGGACGGAAGCGGAAACGAGAACGAAAACAGATTGAAAAAGGAAGTATTCATGGATGTACCACCTGGGTTAGAAGAGGAAGTATTCATGGATGTTAAGAATGTCTTTCTTAACGGAGACCTAGAAGAGGAAGTATTTATGGATGTACCACCTGGGTTAGAAGACTTGGTGAAATCTGGCCAGGTTTGCAGATTGAAAAAGTCCTTGTACGGACTAAAGCAGTCTCCTAGAGCATGGTTTGATAGGTTCACAAGATCAGTTATTAAACAAGGGTTCATGCAATGTCAGGCAGACCATACACTATTTATAAAGAGGGTAGATTCTGGAAAAATGACTGCTCTTGTAGTATATGTTGATGATATTATTATGACTGGGGATTATAAGGCTGAATTGGATAAATTGAAGGCTCCTAGAGTTTGAGATCAAAGAACTAGGCGAGTTGAAGTACTTCCTGGGAATGGAAGTGGCAAGATCTAAGAAAGGCATTTTCATTTCACAAAGGAAATATGTCCTAGACTTCCTAAGTGAAACTGGAATGCTTGGGTGCAAGCCTATGGACACTCCTATGGACATATCAAAGAAGTTAGGCAGTGAGACTTAAAGTCCACCCGTTGATAAGGTTAGATATCAAAGGCTGGTTGGGAAGCTAATCTACCTATCTCACACATGGCCAGACATTGCTTTCTCAGTAAGTGTGGTAAGTCAATTCATGAATGACCCAATTGAGGAACACCTAACTGCAGTCTATAGAATTCTGAGGTACCTAAAAATGACCTCCGAAAAAGGATTGTTGTTTCAGAAACAAGGGACAAGGAAGATTGAAGTGTTTACTGATGCTGACTGGGCTGGGAGCCTTTTAGACAGAAGATTTAGACAGAAGATCAACTACTGGTTACCATACTTATGTATGGGGTAACTTAGTCACCTGGAGGAGCAAGAAACAATCAGTGGTTTCGAGAAGTAGTGCAGAGTTTGAGCTCAGGGCTTTAGCACAAGGAATCTGTGAAGGATTATGGTTAAGAAGATTGATGAATGAGCTCAAACCTCCATTTGAAAGTTCCATCCAGATCTCATGTGACAACCAGTCTACTATCAGTATTGCTAAGAATCCTGTCCATCATGACAGGACCAAACACATTGAGATAGATAGAAGATTCTTATTAGAGAAGATTGCAACAAAGGATATCCAGCTGAGCTATGTTCCAACCAGGCATCAAATAGCTGATATACTCATCAAGGCACTTCCCAGAATTCAGTTTGAAGACTTATCCAGCAAGCTGTGCATGGATGATATCCGTCATCCAGCTTGAGGGAGAGTGTAGATTATTACAGATTGTTCTAATTACTCACCCGATTGAGCATTTATGAGGAGATATCTTAGAGATCTCAGAATCTCTAAATATCCCCAATTATCTTTTCTTTATTAGAGAACCTTAATTAGGAGCCTAGGAGGATTCCTTCCTTATTTCATTTTTCTCTAGCTATATATATTATGTATTCTTCTCCTTGTATCAGACAGAACATAATAAACAGAATACATTTTACTTTCTCGAGTTATTTCTACAATTGAATTGGCGATTTACAAAAAGGTGTTTGGCAATTTAGCTATTTGGCCATAGTGGTTAGTGGGTAACGCCCTATTTCAAAATGTTGAACCCAAAAAGCTACTATTTGCAGCAGTTCTATTTCAGTGGTTACATCTAAAAACGGTAACACTAAACAACTCTTTACCAAACAACATTGATCAACACTTTCACTTATTCAAAATGCTAAAAATGATCATTGTTTTTTTGCTGAAATTTCATTTTGCAAACACACCCAAAGTTAAAATATACATGGTCAGGCCTTGTCTGATCCCTTTAACAATAATTTTTTCATTTAGTTGCTACATTTCATCGACAATCTAAGGACGGAATATCATGTCAAACATACACTAAATTGGTAAAATATTGATGATGATGCAGTTGACTCCTGAGATGGAACACGCCCTTCTTCAACAAGTAATGAGTCTCACACCCGAACAGATACATTTGTTGCCTCCTGATCAGAGGAATCAAGTTCTTCAGTTGCAACAGATGCTGCGTAAATGAGAGGAGAGCAAACTTGGCCAAGTACAAAACAACTTCTTTTGACATCATATGTTGCAATTATGTGGCATAATCTTGTATTTTCACATCAGGTTCCATGAGTTCAATATGTATGTACTCCGTAAGCATTTTATGTTGATTATGAGTGCGAGGGCTGAACTCTGTATTCTAGTTTCCCCATTATTGTTTGCATTTTCAATTTCTTGAGTTTATATAATTCTTTGATGGTCAATGAGTCATTCCCTACATTGTCCAAATACTATGTCTATTTTTCAATTTCTTGAGTTAATTTAATTCTTTGATGGTCAATGAGTCATCCCTACATTGTCCAAATACTATGTATCTATGTGCCGTTCTAAAAACATGTGATGAAATTAGTAGTAGAACCAATGTCTTCAAAAGGTTTTTTGTTTTGGTTTTAAAATATATGCCCCAAAAACATTGTTTTAAAGCATTTGGAAAATCAGTTGATTCCTTTTTATCTTCGATGGAAAAGGGTCAAATAGGCTCGCAAGCTAACTTAAAAAGTGCAAATCACTCATTATATAAGAGGCTCTAGGGATGGACTCGGGTCGGATCAATTGGCCCGTAACCGGCCTAGCTCGGTACTGTTTGGACTAGGGGTGGACTCGGGTCCGGGCCGGGTCCGGGTCGGGCCTAGGCTCGGGCGGGCCGGCGGTTCAAGAATGATGGACCCGGGATCGGCCCGGGTAGCCACCGGGTCTGGTCCGGGTCCGGGCCGGGCCGGGTCGGGCCTCCGGTTTGGATTTTTTTTTTGCTTTCCTAACCCCCCCCTCACCCCCCACCCCCCCAAACCCCCCAAACCCATCCTACCCATCAAGCCCAACCCGGGTGGAACCCCAAAAATGAAAAAAAAATAAAAAAAGTTCAATTTGGCCCGGGCCCGACCCGGCCGGGCCGGTTCACCAAAATTGAGACCCGAGCCTGGACCCGCCCTACCCCCTGGGCCTAGGCCCGACCCGGACCCGGACCCGAGAACTGGGCCGGTCCCGGTCTCGCACAGTAGCGGGCCGGGCCGGTCCACGGGCCGGGTGGCCCGACCCGAGTCCAAGCCTAGTTTGGACCGGCACAGCACGGTTCAGGCCACCTGGCCCGGTACTGTTTCGGGGCAGGCTCCGGGTCTCAAAAAAGTGAACTGGCCAGGTCAGGCCTGGTTAGGGACTTAGGGTTAATTTTTTTTTTTGTTTTTCAAAATTTGAAAAAGGTAAATGGGTTGGGCTGGGTGTTTTGGACGGGTGTGGGGTGGGGGTAGGTAGTAATTAGAAAACAGAAATAGGTAATCGGCCTAACCCGGCCTGAATCCGCCAGGGCCCGACTCGGACCCGGTAGCTATCTCGGCTGGTTTCAGGCCTCAAGAACCCAAAAAAAGCATGGTCAGGCCCAGCCTGGATCGGTCCATGCCTAGGAGGCTTTGTCTGGCCGTCGTCATTTGTGGGTTTCCGATAGAATTTTTGAAGTATTTTCTTCATTAAGTCTAGTTTACCCATATCAAATTTCAGATGAAAATTTGACCGGGAAGATAGTCAAATGATTTTTTGAAATGTACTGCGCTGATAGAATATGACTGGACGGCTGCACATAGTGTGACACCGCACCCGAACGTTCTTGAAATTCAAATTAAATTTCAAAGTTTATGTATTGAATTTCCCTATTATTGAACAATTGTAAAACGATTAATGTTTTATGTAATGCATGATTAATCATATTACTGTTGGGCTCGTATAATAGTAATGGACTTTCAAATACTTAATTGGACCATCTTATTGGATATAGAGGCCCGATCGGGCAGTCCAAATGTTATTTTGGGTCTAATCTGCTAAGAATAGTAATTATTCAAGAATCAAGAATGATGTCCTAGACCCACTCGAGGATGGTCCACACGGCTTGTAGCCCAGGATTCCAGGAATACAAATTCAAGGGTCACAAATAAGTGAATATGTTGATTTGAGAAGAATACAAACTCCTATGGTCCACTTTAAGCATTATTGAGCTAAGTATTGTGAATATGGTTTTTCTTCTATAATATTCATCATATAAATTATTGGGATGATCCTACACATATTGGAGATCAATAATATGATGTAGGGAGTTGACTTGGTCTATATAAATTATAGTGAGTACAAAAAAGACATCTCATAACAAAGATAAAATAATAGGATTCATCTTCTGAGGAGTATTTGGTATATATTTTGGACCCCAAATTGATTGGGATCAATTGGGAAGCATTCCACATGGCTTGAGCACCTGCAAAATAAAGAAAAAGAGTTAGAGAACTTGATTGGGGCGGACAAATAGTGGAGGGGGCTGAACAAGACATGATTGACCCTCTCTCCATTTTGATTAGGAGATATTTTGATCACACCCCACATGCCCACCCACTCTCAATTAATTGAATTTTGAGGCTAAGAAAGAAGCAAGATAACCTTCCTACCACCTACCATTCGAACTCCCAAATATCATAGGAGAGGAGAGAGCCACACAACTCAAGAGAGCTAGGAAAGAACAAACTGCCCGCAGGGTTATTTTCCGGTGCGTAGGGTTGCTTGTTTGATTCATATCTCAAGTTACACTCATCCAAATAAAGCGTGTGAGGTATCTACAGAAAGCTCTCAAGATAAGGAATCCGTAGAGGTGCGGTTTGCATCAAAGTAGTTTAAGGCTTCCAAATCATCGAAGGCAGAAGCTACCTCACATAAACGGATTTGTTTCTTTAAAGTGAGTTTGAACCCCAAACCTTCCTTTTCATTATCTAAATGATATGAATGATTGGTGGAACTATTATACACTATTTCAAGTGTATAAAATGTTATTATAAGGTTACTTTATTTGTTGTAAAGGTTAGATACTAACCTAGAACAAACCTTGAAAGGTTAGAAAATGATTTCGCCGGAAAACACCTATTCTAAGGGCTGTTTTCGTATTATCGGTTAGGAGTTGAGCTAGCACCTTGAGGAGGCTGTCTAACACTCAATTCTAAGCAACGAATCAGTTCTCAAACTTCCTTGGCCGAAGCTTTGAGAATTGGATTGAGAAGGAAAGGTTTAAAGCTCATTTGAGGTGAGGATCGACATCTAGTTGCTTACAACTTGTAGGTTAAGTATGAGATTACCTAAATGTCTAAATCATGTTTTCATGGATTATGATGATTGATTATTGATGAAATATTGATATAGTTGATAAGGAATGAAATTGGAAATGATTTGGAATCATATTGATAAAAACGGAGTTAAATGAGCAATTAATGAACTATTATGTAAAATAGGCATTTTTACTCATGTGTGAATTATGTAGATACATAAATGAATATTTATGTATTACATTGGATGCTTAAGTTGCTGCTACATATCTCTAAATATGTAGGGACTTACAAGTGGATTATTTGATTGATAGAAATAATCTTGATAGTATTGAAATACTAGTTAATGATTATTTGTAATTGTTAAGGAATTGAATCTAAAGATTTGATTGTAAGTGATGCACTTGAATGTGATTCAAGTGACTATATTGATTTAGTATGAAGATAAGATCATGTTATGGGCAGTCCTTAAGGATGTTCCAAAATAGATTATTGATCTCAATTTTAGACATAGGTTTGCTTAGGATTTGAGTCTATGCCATGGCACGGTGATGTACTTGAGTTGGACTCTAGAAGTGCATGGGTAGACAGGGGTTGTGAATGATGACATGCATGGTGATGTACTTGAGTTGAACTCTAGAAATGCATGGTGAGATTGAAGGTTGTAACCTATGATGTGCATGGTGATGTACTTGAGTAAAACTCTAGAAATGCACAGTGAAGTAATTAACTTGTGTGATATGATTTGCATGGTGATGTACTTGAGTTGGACTCTAGAAATGCAAACATATGTGTTAGGGTTGGACCCTATGAATTGTCGTGACTGATAGTCTTGGGGTATGGGGTTGATGTTTTGTAATAAACCTTGGGCCTACGGGTCAACTACTTGACTTTATATAAAGTAAGTATAATTTTAAAAGGGGTAACTTGGGGTTATGGCCTAGATTATTTTATCACCCTATTTGAGGATCTTGTGTTTGAAATACTTGTTGTATATCTATTAGATGTCATCCACACCAGTACTTTATAGCCCTATAGAGTACTGACCCCTTCGGGGGCATCCCACCACCATTTCAGGTTGAGGCTAGAGCTTGCTTCATGTGCTCGTTGCTTGAGTGATCATCTAGGAGGGAAGACTTGGTTCGTGCTTCCTCCATTCTGTTTTTGAATATTAATAAACATGTTCATGGATATTTTACTATAGAGCCTACGCGCTCATGTTTGCCACATGTGGCATTTGTTTCGAAACTATGTTTCCGCCGCTTATTAAATTGCTTATTATGTTTGTTTATGGATGACTTACGTGTGAATGATATTCGAGATGCCTTGTATAATATGGATGTGTTTGACTGTGGTTGACTATTCGTATTGTATGATGGGTTGTTGACGTGTCCGGGCAGGTCCGGGGCGTGACACCTAGGGTTCTAGGGTTGTGTGAGTTTGGATAGCTTTGGACGTGAGTTTCTTTTGTGACGTGTGGATTGCGGCGTGTGGATTGCAGCATGTGGATTGCGGCATAAGAGTGGCATCGGTGAAGGTAGTGCAACGCACTGTTACGGTCCTGACTGCAGTGAAGCGAGCGAAACGATCAGACAACGTCGAAGCAAAATAATACCTTTGAGGAAGATTGATGGCGGATATTAGTGAACAACGGGAGATCGAGAGGTTGGCCAGTGTGTATGGAAACATGGAGATGGAAGATGGTGATGAATTTCTACAGGTAGAGGCTTTGGCACCTGGTAGTGAGGAAATCGGTTGGGCATTGGTAGGGACAATCACTTCTGAAAAATCGGTACGTTTTTCCTCCTTTCGTGATACCATGGCAAATATCTGGAGACCAGTCAAGGGTGTCGCTATTACTGAGTTAGGAAATAAAAGGTACATGTTTCAGTTTTATAACGTAAATGATATGAAAAGGGTTCTAGAGGAGGGCCCTTGGATTTTTGAGCAAAACCTAATTGTACTGGCCAGGTTGCGGCAAGGAGATTTACCTCTAGAGGTACCCTTGAACAAGGCTGATTTCTGGTTGCAAATTCACGATGTCCGGGTTGGATATTTCTCTATGAAAAGTGCAATTAAAATAGGTAATTTTGTGGGAAAATTCATTAAACTGGATGAATATAACTTTTAAGTCAAGTGGAATCTGTTCATGAGGATAGGGGTTAGTATCGACCTGAACAGGCCCCTAAAACGGAAGCTATTGTTGTAGTCAGATGAAGGGGATAATTTTTGTGTCAGGTTTAAATATGAGAAACTCCCTAGTTTTTGTTTTGCATGTGGTATCATTGGGCATGCAGAAAGATACTACCCACGTTACCCCAATGGGGTGGGGAAGGAGGGAGGATTGCCATTTGGACCGAAACTGAGAGCTGTTAAAGGGGGGATTTTGCCGAGCGGGAACAAATGGCTAGTTCCGGTGGGTAAAGGCAAAGAGAAAGAAGGTGAAGATAGTAATAAGGCTTCGGATGGGGACATCTATGAGACTCCACAAGAGCAAGAACATCATGTTACAAGAGAGAAGTTTGAGCAGAAGCGCAGGAGGGTTGACCAAGGAGTGAAAGAGCATGTGCAAGAGGGCATGGAGATAGAGAGGAGATTGGCAAAAAACGGGGAGGAAGCGAACTACAATGCCCATCGGACATGCAATTGAAGCAGGAGGATATAGCACGGGTGGAGACTAGAGAATTCCACCAGTTGCAGTTTTATTTCTATTGCATTTTTTATTTCAAACTACATTTACACGTTGTTTTTGTTTCAGACAATAAGGGGGGTGGGTTTATGTGTTGCTTGTTTGTTGTTGGTAGACAAATTGTTGGAGGCAATCAAGCTAATTCAGCCACTAATAGCCTCTATGCTCTCACTGTTTCAACGAATAGCCTCACTCTTTATGGGGTGGACTATTCTATGTCTGATCATGACGTGAGTGGCTTGAAGGGCTTTTGGTATGAGTTGGACAGAGGGAAAGCGAGAGTTTGTGATTGGGGTATTATTTCGACGGTTTTGATCTTAATATAAGAGTTTTCCTTCAAAAAAAAAAATGTACTGCGTTGTTTAACTGCTCAATTATCTTCAAAAATTCACGTGACTGCTTCCCGATTGAATTTTTAGCTCAAATTTGATATGAGTAAACTAGAATTAATTAAAAAGATGTTCAAAAAATTTAATAAAAAAATTCCACCGAGATCACCCCAAATGGTGACGGCCGGACAGAGCCTCTTACCCAAATGACGACGACCGGACAAAGCCTCCTATATATATATAATAAAAGGTGATTTGCACTTTTTAAGTTAGTATGAATGTATGAGGGTCTATTTGACCTTTTTCCCTATCTTTAAAAAATTAGTTGTTCGATAACTTTTTCCCATGAGTCCCAAATAAATAATTGCCCATCTTTCGCAATATCATCCATTTGCAATTCATAACATATTAACATTAGCGAATACATGAATTAGTTTTCATCATATTCTGTTACATCATATATTTGAAATAAAATTTATCTTAGCTGGGAGTGACTATTTCAAAAGGTGTTTCATCACATTCATCCATAAAAATATGCCATGTTTCCAATAGCAGACACTGCCAATGCATGTTTGCATCTCTAAGGAACCTAATCGTTAGTGTCAGTATAGATGGATGGGTACAAGTTGCAAAAATATTTGGAAGGGGAAACAAAACAAGTGCAAGCTAAGTTGGGAATATGCTTTTACAAACTATATTTGAGTGTTAAAAGCCATGCTTGTCACGGCATCGCCTAGGCGTCGCCTAGTCGCCGACTAGGCGTCCTGGTGCTAGAGAGTGAACGTCGTCTTCACTCGCCTCGCCAAAAGAGGAATAGTCGCGATAGGCATCCTCCAGTCTTTGGCTTTTTTGCCGGTCCAACAATCGCCCGCAGGCCCAGAAAAAAATAGATGTAGGCTTTTAATTGAAAACAAAGCCCAAAGGGTTCAGATAATCTTACGGGCTATTTTGTCACCATCGTCGTCTAACTCAAGTCGTAGAGACAAGCCAGTTGAGTCGGAGGAATCAAACGAACCGCCACAACTCCAGGGAGCAGGAGAGCTTGCCTATCTTACCCTCCCTAAGTCCCTCACGGAAGCTTATTAGTGCTGAACAGACCAGTACGTTCTATATTTTTTCTAGTCTAGTGGAGTAATATTTTAATTAAGTTGTATATGTATATATATACGTATATATAGAGTATTTTGTAAACATGATATGCGCAATTATACCCACATATACTGAGTTCAGATTTGCTTTGCAGCATATTATTAATTGTTAATTTATTATATATGTTATAAAATAATAGTGTTAAACTATTAATAAAAACAAAAACTATTATATATAATGAAATGCTTACTTTACTTTTTGTAATATATAAAGAAATACAATTTAATTAGTAATATGTTATATATAACTATATATATATAACTATGTATATACTATCCTCCGTTCCATAAAAGTTGCAACAATTTGACTTTTACGTTTGCCAACACGCAACTTTGACTGTAATTATATTTATTTACGTATTAGTAAACATTAAAAAAAGTTAATATATTGGAAAATTACATTAATACAAATTTATTAATATTTTATACATAATATTTTTATTATATATATTATTAGAAAATCGTAGTCAAAGTAAGGTGTGTGAATAGTGCAGAAATTCCAATGTTGCAACTTTTATGGAACGTAGGAAGTATAATATAATATAAAATGTGCAACTAGTCGCCTAATTGTCGCCTAGGCGGGCGCCTTATCGCCTAGGCAATATGGCGGTTGGCTGGCGCCGTGACTCGACTTACCGCCTTGACAAGTATGTTAAAAGCACAAAACATGTGCTGCTTCAAATGACTGATGTTAGCAATCTTTGCAGCTGTCAGCTGTCAACTGATTGCATAAGATGTTTGACAAAGCAAATTGGTTTGCCTGGGCTAAGACTGATATACAAAGTTGTCTGATAACACAGAATGGCTAATAATTATGCATTCGGGATGTGGTGTAATACATATATGCTCAACCAGTTTGCAATAGCATGAGATTCTTTGTGTTCCACAAAATCATCAAGACACACCACCCTGACCATCACCAGTGAAAAGCCTTCAGAAGCAACACGTGAAAGCTCATTCGCCTTAAAAGTGTCTTAAAGTCATGCATAATAACAACAATTACAATAATTCTGATAATAATAATCATTATTCTTGTTATAATATTAATAATAACATCATCATAAATAAATGTCAACAAAAAAATCACCGCAAACTAAGGGCAGTTTTGGTAACCCTATGAGGTGTGTGGTGCACTGGAACAGTGAAACATCAAGTTTTACAGATTTACCTGCAGTTTGGTTGAGTTCAGGTTGTGTTCAAGCCTTGTGTTTGGTTGGTGAGAGAAATGTAAATTTTGTGTGTTTTTTGGTTAGGAAGGAAATGGAGACGAGAGAGGTTTAGACAATGCATTCTGCCCATATTTTATATCTTCTCCCTCATTGGGAGAAATGCACGTCTTCAAATTTCAACCCATTTTCTATCTACTACCAAATAGGGCACAATATCTACAATCCTTCTATCTTCCGCATCTCTTTCTCATCCCTTCTCTCTTTTCTATTTCTTCCCTAATCCAAACAAAAGATCAATGTCCATGGTGAAATTAATTCTATACATGGCAATGCAAATAATTAAAAGAAGCAAAACAAAAAGAAAAATGTTTGGTGTACACCTTTCGTATACTCATCTTTCTCACGCACACAGAGTTGTCTGTACAGAGACAACTCTATAAGGCCCTACTGTACACAGACAACTCTATAGGGCCCTACAGAGTTGTCTGTACACAAGGTCTACACCTAGCATAGCTCAAACAAAAAAGAATCAGAGATTGAGGACAAGGGTAACCTACCACACTGTCATTGCCAAAAGCTACTAGTTTACCAAAGGGGCTAGAAGCTACAGATTACCTGAAAAAGGAAGTCTTCATGATCCATAGAAATTTGATAAGACAATAAAGAAATGTGTTCTTTATTCACTTTGAGTGGCTGAAAACTGTATCTGAATAGTCAGAATCTTCTTCATTCTCCCACTCGGGATCTTCATCGCCTTCGGACTCTTCCCATGAAGCTTCAATTCGACTCTAAACATATATGCACATGTATCATACAAGAAATAAAGATCATGCAAATTTTGTTATCACTCCAAGCTAATAAGCTGAGCCTGTTTGGGAACACTTTTGATGCAGATAACTTTGGAAACTTTTCAAAAGCAAAACAGTGATGATTTTATTGGAAAAACAACTTTTCTGTATTGGAAATCATAGTTTTAAGCTATTTTTGGGTTAAAAGAACTTTTATTAAAGCGCCAACTTGGTGCTTTTGAGAAAATTGTTTATTTGGAGAAGTGATTTATAACCATCCCATACGGGGACAGGTGGCCAGTAATACTAGTACTCCGGGACTTGGCAGATATTCAGGTTAAAGAAACCCACCTGTGTTAACTCGGAAAAACGATTGAACTGGAAACCGTCCTCCAAGTTTGAGTTGAATCCTTTTACATCTTGAGTAATCCCCTATACAGTATCCAAATATAAAACGTTAAGTATCAGTTAATGAGGAAAATGAATCAAACGTAAAGTGTATGAGGGCACTGGTATAAATGGCATATTATAGTGAATGATCAAATAATTTCATCAATCTGTACCACAAAATAATGGTTTCAGCAAGATTCAGCTGCAGCCTGAGTACTAATTATAAAGGGAAAGGGAACGTCAAAGTTTAAACTAATTGAGATACAGGCATACAGCCCAGTTGTAATGGCCTAACTACGCCAACATAATAGGATAAAGAATAACTGAATAAGGTGAACAATGACCCCTGACATGTTTAGGATAGTTACACAGACTATAAGTGAGAAAGCAAGTTTTACTCCAATGTTAATTAGGAATGGAGGAAGTATTGGCAAAGAGAGAAAATGGCTACAAAACAAACAAATAGTAATGGCAGATTGAAAGGATCAAATATCTACTCAGTTAATACCTACTTGCACGTTAATTTTAACAGTACAGGAAACTGTGGCTTACTATATCTCTTTTCGTTTGCTCTATGGTATCCTCCAGTTCAGCAATATGCTGACTCAGACCCTACAGAACAAAGTGCATATATCAGAAAAGGCAAGTTTTATAATATAGTGCTTCATCTGTTTCAAAATATTTGTCTTTCAAAGTAGTCTCAAGCATATTGCAAAACTCATTCAACAGGTAAAATGTGTATAAAATGATCGCAATCGTCCATTACCCTATCAAATTTCAACAAAAAATAATTGAGATATACAACAGAAATTAAGAGAAGGGAAAAGTTGGGGAAACACTTCCTCTTCAAAATGAAAAGTGAGAAGCATTTAGAAACAATTTTTTATCAGTTATTTTGATAAGGAGAGAGTAACATACTCCTTAAAAAAAGTTGCAATTGTAGAATGAAACTACCTCATATTGTTGCAAAGCCACACGGCGCTTCAGTGCCTTTGCCTTGGTCAGAAGGTTTTTTGGCCTGACGCTAATGGGACGTCTGTAATTTTTCCCACGATAGAAAATTACAGAATGTCCTTTGGGTACTCTGTCAATTGCAACCAGAATACCACCACTTTCATATTCTAAAAGTCTAGCTGTTTCCTCTACAAAAGCGAGCTCCTTTTCTTTAGAAATTAACTTTACAAGTTCTCTGTGCTTCCAATGAAGATGCATGTTCTCAACAACACCATCAAAAACTCCGCGAATGCCTGAAAGATGATAAGATTAAGCAGAACATTGTCATTTTGAACACTTTTTTTGTCCAAAAAAGAGAGCCAAAACTAATCAAACAAAGCTCTTTCATATAATGTGCCACAAAATTGATATAAAAAAAGTCTTATACAAAGTTACATATGATAACTTTTTCTGGAACCGGCAGATAAAATTTAAAAAGATGAGTAAGACTCATGAATCGTGATCTATGACATTTGTACAACATCAAGCCTTATTCCCACAAGGCTCTTGTTTGGGATCAAATTGATCAATGCAGTACTAAAGAGGTATCATATCATTTTCATTTACCCCAGTGCCGCAAAGGCTCCCACCTACGGTGGGGTAAGGGTAACAGTACTAAAGAGGTAGTTTAGAAGAAATTGAACAAAATGAAATATCAATTAAAATAGCTAACCAAGTGGCAAGAATGCCTTCATCTTCAATCCAACCTGACGATACATGGCCCTTTCCTCTTCTGTGATTGTTTCCTGGTCATCAGAGGGACAAACAGGAACCCACGATGCTACAATTTTTGATAAAAGGTTCTCTGCTTTAAGCTTCTTGGCTTGAGACTGTTCAGACATTGACCACACAAAAGTTAAGATGCATACTTGCATACTACAATGCATGATGCTTAGAGTTGCAGTATTTGTAACAAACAAAAAAAGAGTTTTAGTAGTTCACACCTAAAGATATGTTATCTATCAATTCAAGAACTGAAAGACTAAAGTTATCAATTTAGGACTTGAATTAATGAAACTATAACATCCAAGAATCTAAAGAATCATGAATTTTGATTCTTTTATTTTATAATGAATTTCAATAAACTCTTTATTGAATATAGTATATGATCCATGAAAGAATTTTAAATAATGTGTCATACAAAGAACTAAAAATAAAATAAAAATTGTCCTAAATAGGACTAATGTTTGCCTAAAAAGCACAAATAGGACCAAAGCCTTAAATCATTCACAAATAGGACTAAGCATTGACTTTCTACCCTAAATACCCCTAAGGGTATTAATTCATAATGAAATTTTTTAATTCAAAATAAAATCGTAAAAAATAATAAAAAATCGTAAAAAATAATAATAAATAATAAAAATTGTAAAAATAAAAATAAAATCGTAAATAAATAAAAATAATAATTAAATATCTATAAAATAAAAATTTTAAAAAGCTTTTTTTTAAATAATAATAAAAAATAGTAAAAACCCATAAAAAATAAAAAAATATGGATACCTTTCCCACCACCTCCCAGCACCACCACCTCTGATCGGTGATAAAAATGCAAGAAAATGGCATTATTATTGTTGATAATGCCAAAATTTTCATTGAATCTGCTATTATTATGGCATTACTAAAAATGTTGGCATTTTTCCTCCGGTGATCGGAGCTGGTGGTTTTGGGGGTGGCATAGGGGATGTTTTTTTATGTTTTTATTTTTTTTTTTGTTTTTTTGTTTTTTTTTAAATTGAATTTTTTATTTTATAAATATTTTATTTTGTTTTAATATTTTTTACGATTTTATTATGAACTAAAACATTTCAAAAATGTAGTACTTTTTGTGGTTTTGGCCCTTTTTAGTCCTATTTAGGTAATTCACTCGAAATAAAAAGCACTAAAAATTCAATCCAAGACTTTCAAAAAATCGTGAATTTTTATTTTTTAAAATACTTCTTAGTAAACTATTTTTTAAATTTGATATATGACCTGTGAATGAACTTTTATAGAAAATTGACATGAAAAGAATTAGAAATATAACCATTAAAAATTCAACATATTTAAGTCTTAATTGACAGTTTCAATCATTCAGTTCCTAAATTGATGCTTTATATATACCACGTCTTTGGTGGATAGCATACTTGGGCCCTAAATTGATAAAAGTCCAAAATAGATACTAGGAAAAACAATATAATAAACAATAATGGTTGGTAAGGTACAATTATATTTCTAATCCAATTGAAACAAAGAAGTACGCTTACAATGGCTACTTTATGTTCAAGTCGCTTGATTGCTCTTTCAGTCCTTGCTCTAGCTGCTTCTTTCAACATATTTTCCCGCTCTTCATGGGGAACGTCTCTTCTTCCCCATTGGGCTTGGGCCTCATAAAATTCCGCTAACGAACCAGCCTGCTGCCATCTTCTCTGTTTGTCCTCAACATCTTTAGCTTCAGGTTGTTCTGCTAAATCACTTGTTATTAGTTCCTCACCTGATATACCCACATGGATGAACGTACCCGGTCCCTTTCGCACTGTTTCTTCAACATCCAATATCTGTTTCATCATTTTCTGTCTTTCTGCTAAAGCGTTTGCAATACTTGGGGGTACAAAATCCTTTCCCCTGTAAATGACTATGTAGTATTTGTTTCTCAGCAGTAGCACCCCCCCTGTTAATTTCTATTATGCGGAGAGGTTGCTAGTAAGGTAAGTTTATATACATCTTTGATGTGTGTTCATTCTCATACTCTTTCAACAGTAGAATAAAAGTGGTAATACATGGTTTAGTCCATTGACTATTCACTATTGCCCAATTTGGTCCTCAACTTTTTAAGACTCAAATTGGTCCTTAACTATGCAAATTAAACCCAACTTTGTTCTCATACATATTTGTTCCTATGTAAGAAAGGTATGTTTGGTGATTCACTAAGCTTAGGACCCAATTCGGTCCTAAGTTATGTAATTTGGAACCACTTAAGTGACAATTTGAGTAAAATATCCTGAAGACTAAATTGTCCAAATTGTATGCTTGAACACTAAAGTGAGCCTAATAGAAAGATGAGTACCAATTCGAGTAAAAGTATATAGTAGTGACTAAATCAAGTATTAACACTTTGATAAAACATACATGAAAATTAGGTCTATGTACATGCAATGCGGGACTCTTTGAGGTACCAAAATGCTATATAAAAAACGAAAAAGAATCTGTATGGCACTAGGATTAGTTTATACTTTATACCCATGTAAAACATAATGCCATAAATCACATTATAAACTATAGTCAGGAAATCAAAACAAAATAACAAACTCAAGAAACACTAGACATGAACTGTTGATACAAAAATATAAGGGATTGATCCTAAGCCAATGGAATCTCACACGTGACACGTCACAAGTATTTTCCATTCTTCCGCTCTTTTCTGTCAAGAACCGCATACTCCTGAAGCCCAATGCCCTAATTCATGTTTTACTCCATCGATAATGTCTATTTTGATCTTCCTTTCCATAATGGGACTATGGAACTCCTACCTCCCAGTGAAAAACATGCTCTAACCAACGTACTCCAATATCTCTTATGGTCTTACCTTATCTTTGATAGCCAACTACCCACTACTCCCACTTTTGTGTGGATCTCCTCATTTCCTATTTTATTACTCCCTCATCCCGCTAAGATCATCTCATCTTTCCTTTTCGGTCTGTCCAACTAAGATTGTCCCATACCAAATTTGGTAAAGTTTGTGTGGTTCTAAATGAGTCTTACTTTATTCTTACTTTATCAATTCAATATCAACCACATAAACTCATTTTTCTTAATAACCGCACCACCTCCTCATGTCCCAATGTTAGTGGGATGGAGGTAGTATTTTTGTGATGCACTGTTACCACACATCCATCTTAACACGTATAAGGTTATTCAGTTAACCAAACTTCAAAGTTCAAATTTCAAAAGCACTATCTTGAAAGTATTACAGCCATAATATATTTTGTTTAGTACTAGATAAGGGAGACAACTAGGCAAGCATTGTATGTGAGTCCTCAATTAACTATTTTCTTTTAGAAGGAAAAAACACTGGAGAGATATATATGATATAGGTTCAGAAGTCTTGTTATGAATAGGAAGGACATTTTAGTTTTCACCCAGATATGATACATGTAACTTCCTATTGACATTGGCAGCAGGGCAAGAGCGTAGAGCCAATAACACGAAAAATGTTACAGTTCAAGAAAATACGGAGAAGAAATTAAGGTTACTAACTAATCAATGTAGATACTTTGAAGATAAAAGAAACATGTTAGCATACCACATGACATGCTCCACTATTCTTGCAACAAACATGAAACTAGGAAACCTACTGATGGATAGTCTACCCGGGGTATGTATCCGAAGGGTTACTGTGGGGAGTAACTAGAGAGAAGTCAGAGAAAAAGTAAGAGAGAGAGAGTATATTGCTGAGAATGTAGTGAGCGTGTTTTTTTTTGCTTTGGATTACAAATGGGGAAAAGGGGCGCTATTTATAGTAGTAATAAATGCCAGATAGGGACACATGTCATCATTCTGGTGGTCGAGGGGTCACCTCAACGGGGCGGCACTGGCACTCGCATGTGGCCGCATTAAATGCGGTGGTTGGATGTGACGTTTGTACTTGGTACGTCGATCCAGCGCATGTGGGTGGGAGATTCTGTCGAGGAGAAGCCTTCGGCCGTAGATGATTGACCGAAGGTTCTTCCTTCCGGGGGCACCCTAGGTGCTGAGGGCTGCTGTTTTTACTGTCTTCTCCCAGTGTCCTCGTATGCTAAAAATAGTTTTTTTGCGAGCATCTAGATACTTCGGCCAAGGGGCCGAAGGCACCCCCAGTGTGCTTTGTTGGCTGCTTGGTACTTGGGGCGCTGTGATTTGGGCTTGTTGTGCTTCCTGGGCCTATCGGGCCTTGGTTAGAGCGGCAGGAGTCTATGGGCCGGGGTCCCTGGGCCATATACTCCATCACCTACTTCCTCCAAAACTTGATTTGGTAAAAAGTGCAGATGAAAGATGGGCATTGCATTCTAAGCAAATAAACCAAATGCCATAGTAGCAATTCCATATACTCCCGGGAAAAGATTTTGTAGGGCATCAAACACAACACCAACACATGTACTCCCTCCGTCCCCTTTTAAATGTCTCGGAAGAGGGTGGCACGAGTTTTAAGAAAAGTAGGTTTGTGTGGTTGATATTAATAGATAAAGTAAGAATAAAGTAAGAATGATTTTGAACCACACAAACTTTACCAAATAAGGTATGGGACAATTAAATAGGGACATCCCAATATGGTAAAATGGGACATTTAAAAGGGGACGGAGGGAGTAGTATTTAACTTCTAAAGCATAATAATCAAGTCATGTAAAGTACCAAATGTAATAATATATTCATTGGATGTCCACTTGAAGTGCCAAATGCCATAATTTAACTGCAATAGGTATCGATGTCCATTGGTTTTATAATGTCAGAGCTTATTTGCTGAACACTAGACTTGAAATGTATTATGTATGAAACATTTTCTCTCAGATTTATGCATATTCATTAGATCACAACATCAGGAAACAGAAAGGTAAAAAGAATAAGGAATAGTAAGACCCAACACACCTTCAACTCCTCAGACATGAGCTGATTGTTTGTATTCTGGATTCCGCGTTTAACAGCAATTTTCACAACTAAACTTTTCTCCCAGAGCTTAATAATAGAAGCTGCCAAACCCTGATGATGTCTATTTCTACCTGAATCCTCATGATAGTGTTACAACTTAAGCATCACAATTCCAGCAATTAAAAATGTACCTAAAGGGCAGAAAATTACCAAGGGCAAAATGGCAAGGAAGTGATTTTGCAAGTTTTCGTAAGTTGGTCATTTCTGCATTGGTTAGGCTAGATCTTGTTCTAGTGGGAAGAAGTCGGAAAGGAGGTTTGTAGCCAGGAACTGTCTGAGGGAGTAAATCAGCATCAACAGGAAGTATTCCTGTTCCCCACCAGTCTTCAAAACGTGGTCCTAACCCATCTAGCAATTTAGTAAACTCAGCTTCTTTTGCAGTCAAGGTCTTATGCTGGATAGAGTAAAGCGGGACAATTTTCCCCTCAGCTAGATTAATGCTCTCATTTGTGTTGTTCACTGGGTCATTGTCTTCTATATCTTTTGGTTTGGCTCTTGAAGAAGGCCCCATATAGTTATTTCCACGGTAAACCAACATGAAACTTCCAGACCTCCATATTACAAGTCCATTTGTTCGACACTGACAGCAAAAAATGAAGGGTCTGTTAAGATCATATTCATATCAACAAGACTGGCAATAAAGTCCATATTGATATGCACAATTTCATGTACACCTTAATGGTGTAAATTAATCAAGGACAGAAGGGCCAAGCCAAATTGAAGGAGCCAGTTTAGGAGAAGGGCTAAAGCAACACCATATAATAGTAGAAAAGGCTAAAGGAGGGAATATCTGTAGCTTATACCTTTATTGATCAATTCATTGTGTATTTTGAACTTCTAATTTAGTTTGCATTAGCTTTTTTCTGGTTGAATGAATTTTTTATCCAAGGAACATCAAAGCTGTGTGGGATTGATTATATGGATTTACTTTCAGATAGCATGTTTTCGAAGAGAAACATCCAGTCAATTTGAGGCACTTACCTAAAACGTAGCAGCTTATTTATTTAAAACCTTCCTTACTACTTCCAATGGTGCAGAACAAATAAACGCAAATGCTAACTACCAGTCAAAGTGTACCAACCTCAACAATTCTGTGTGCAGTCTTCATATCATGAGCTAAAGCCTCGTGAAATTTTAACCTCACAAGTTCACCTTTCTGCCATTTTTGATGAATCTTCTCCAAAACTGCCCCAGTGACACCAGCCTTAGGTATGTTGATCTTCTCTCTGAGACTCATCCCGTCTCTTCTCAGCCTTCTAAGCTCCTCATCCTCGATGGTCAGCTCAGCCAACGTAGGTTCCTTCACCATCACCCTCCTCCCCCCGTCAACCTTCTCCTCCTCATCGTCATTCACCTCCACACTGCTCTCCCACGGAAGCAATGTCCCATCCTCACCTTCAGACAACATAGAATCAGGGCGAACCCAATCCCTTTTCAACAAACCGCCCAACTTATCTTTCTCATTCCTATAATCTCCTTCGTCTTCTTCATCATCCGATCCTAATCCCAAATTTCTCAACCGAAGCACAATCCTTTCAATTGCAGTGCCCCTGGTTGTAGTGCGCTGGTCAAGAACTCGGACTTCAGAGTCCGAATAAATGGGATTCGTGCTTGCGGACAATGGCTCTACATGATGCGGGCCATGCGGCCATTTGTTGAGCCATGAAGAAGAGTGGGAAGGAATAGAATTAGAACTACCATGGTTCAGGGAGGGTACTTTGTTCTTTTTTGTAGCGGCGGTGGTGGTGCGACGGATGGAAGAGGGGGGTTTAAGTAGGAGATAGAACGGCGGTCGGCGAGCGGGATTTGAGAATATGAAAGCCGGTATTTCTGTTAATTTCGCAGCCGAAGGAAACATCTTCGTGAATAGTATGTCATAAGCTCTCGGTTGTCATGGTTGAATTCCAAAGTTAGAGAATGGGGTTTCAGTTGGATGGCACTGGCTGGGGACGGGAGCTAGGCGAAGATGGGGATAAGGCAATGCCAACGCTGTCATGAGTTCTTTTAGAATAAATTGTCCTAAATACGACTGAAACATAGTTAAAATTCCAAAACAGGATTTGAAGTCTATTATTCCCTAAATAGGACTGCTTATTACATTTTTACCCTTCTTTTAATTAAGCCCTGGATTCACCGACTCCAAAATGAAGAAATAGAGATGCCTAGAAAGCATCCCTAATTTTCGATATCATCTGCGATGAAGAAACAGAGATGCGTAGCAAGCATCCCTAATTTCCAATCTCCCAAAGCTCCAATGAAGCCGGATAATTTTCTCCAACTCTTTTCTCTTCTTCACTTCTTCTCCTTCCCTTCTCTTCTCTTCCGCTCTTCTCTTCTCTCCTGTACGACTCTGGCCTATTTTAGTTTTCTTGATTTTCACTTTAACACTTCTTACTTTTGAGATTATAAACAGATTATTTTGATTTAGATTTTGGATGAAAAATTAAAACAAGGTTCCAAAATTGATTCGTTTATTCATTTATATCTAGAATGTATTTGAAAATTTCACTTTTTGGATATGAGAATGTCACTTTTATGTCATCTTTTTATAGGATAATTGCATAATTTCCTATGAAAATGTCACAACTATCAATGTGAAAATGTCATCTTTTTACAGTAGAAAATGTCATCTTTTATGTGAAAATGTCATCTTTTTACAGTAGAAAATGTCATCTTTTATACGAAAATGTCACTTTATGTCAAACTGAGATTGTCATCTTTATAAGCAAACTGTCATAAAAGTGACATTTTTTCAAATAACCAATAAATTTGACATTCTCAGATTCAAGAAGTGGCATTTCCTGGGAATCTGCATTCTGAGGTTCAAATTTGCTAAATAAATTAAAATTTAAATCCAGAAATATATTAAAATACAGAGGACCTAGAAGAAGATGAGAAATGGAAGAAAAGAAGAAGAAGAAGAGATAAGAAGGAAATTGAAAAAATTAAAATTCAGGAGACCTGGAAGAAGATGAGAAAAGGAGGAAAAAGAAGAAGAAAAGAAGAAAAGAAGAAGAAAAGATATGAATCAATTACCTGCTATGGAGAGCTTGGCGGTCGAGGTCGGCAAGAGACTATCGGGATGGTTCAGCGGCTCCCTACGGAAACCGGAGTTTTATATGGAGGGTTAATTTTGTCAAGCCACTATATTTTAGTCCTAAAAAGGTCCTAAAAACATTATAGTCATAGTTTTGCATTTTCCCTTTGTTTTACTCCCATTTAGAGAAATCTCTCTTTTTTTTAAACCAACGCCGTCATTATGTTCACATTTTTTATATTTTTAAATCTTAATTAATCTTTGTAATTTTATTAATTCAGGACCCGAAAGATAGATAAATTGTCAATCCGGGAACTAAAAGATGACATGCATCGATATAGGACTCGAATGATGGAAAACTATACATCTAGGACCTAACATTTCATAGATTTTGATTTATTAATTTTTTTATTAATTCCATTACTGGTTTTTGATAAACTTGTCTTTACAAAAGTTTATTAGTTTAATAAAATTAAATCATATTTAAAATTTTTAAAATAAAAAAATTAACAAAATTCATGACAACTTAGGCCCTAGATCGATAATTTTAAATCATTCAGGTCCTATCATAGTTTTTCATCTTTTAGGTCCCGGATTGATAATTCGTCTATCTTTCAGGTCCTGAATTGATAAAATCCCTTAACTTTTTGTCGCAAACTATATTTCTTCAGAAATGCTGGGGCACACTAGTTGTATACTTGTATCGATCAAGGACAATTGATATGGAATTGCACGTGAAAACAAACAAGAGTTGTATGTGTACGCAGATAACTTTTGTCTCTGTCCACAAGACATTAATTTTTGTGAAAAAAATTACACTGGTAGTCGCTTGAAATTGATATCAGCTTTCAAATCAATCTATATATGTGCAGTGCATGTGTGCACAAATTTTTTTTCCCTTTCGCACAAACAATTATTTGTGTGTGTGCACAGACAATATTTACCACACAAACAATAGTCGTGCGGTTCACAGGTCATAGTTGTCTGCGTGATCAATTTAAATTGTCTAAGCGAACAAAAACTTAAGAAAAAACTATTAAATAAATTCTCGTATTGTATCAGAAATGTCGATTATGCCCTCGTAGCTTGACAACAAAAATGTTTTTTCTTACAGTACTTTGTTGAAATATATTGAATTAGTCATCTTCCAACTATTCCTGATTAGGAATACTTATCACCATTGTATAAATAATTAGGAAATCATAATTATGATTCTAGATGATAATTGTGTGATTCACAATTATCCTCTAATCCTAATAAGCTTAGCTTTTCTCCTATAAATAGGAGTCTTCTCCATTGTAATCAACACACCTTCATTACACCATTATCACACTCTCTAATACACCTCTATCACTAAGTGTTCTACTATACTTTCTCTCCCTGATCTTCTGCTCATTTCCTTCCATATTATAAAACGTTATCAGCACGAGTTTGCTTCAAATCCCTGAAATCATCATCTTCCCAACAGGTATATATTTTTCAGGAATTTATCAATTCATCTGGAAAAAAAAATCAGAGGATGAGAATTATAAACATGTTTATATATAGATATATTCAAAACTATAAGAAGTATGCTCTATGGTTGCCCAACAATTGGGATCCTCCATATCAGAAAAATTATAGTCATATTTTCTATATATAAACAGGTTGAAGTTGACATACCGTAACTTCGAATAACGATTTTATTTATCTTCTCAAATAATATTTTTATATTTTCTCCCCAGCACAACGAAAAATATGATAAGTATGAACTGAGGTTTAAATATGCTTTTGTATAAGCTATGAGAACGAATATACACACAATATAAAATTAAATCTTAACTACGAGAGATAGATAAGTATATATACTACTAAATTGTTCTTTATATTTATGAGAAGAGAAGATAGATAGTAAAAGAAATAATAGGGAAAGAGTAGAAGTGGTTAATATGCAAAGAAGAAAAAAAAACTTACGGATTTGTGAAAACCCAGAAGAAGAGAGCTTGAAATTTTTAAACTCTCAGCTAGCTACATGATATAGAGGTATATACATACTAAAGAGTTATCACCATTCACCGGTGTGAAGAAGAATAGTCTAGATATTTTAAAGGCATGAAGAAACAATAAATTTAATGCTATACATGACATGTACAGTCTGGTAACTTAGCAGACAATAATAGTAGCTAAAAGACAACTTTTACACCTAGATCATTTACTAGCAAACCACGTATATGGTTGTGTTTACATATACGGAGTGTTATCCATATACTGACATGCACAATAAATATACCAGTATGTCATGTGTATGATTGACACTCAGTTATATTATTTATGTAAAAAAAAATCAGTTTGTTTTCTGCATAAGAAAAAAAAACGAAAGGATTTAAATAATTTATATATATTCATGAAAAAAAAATTGAAAGGATTTAAATAATTTATATATATTCATGCATACGTACCGTCTCAAATTCTTTTCCGACCTTTTCATCTTGATAATTAGTATTTCAGTTATGTAAATTAAAGGAATGGTAAGAAAGGTAGAAAAAGATTAACTTCAAAATATTCAAGTAAAATAAATAAGGTGATCATATATGGTCAAACAAGCTCATACCGACATAAACATGTGAGCAAATTTAGTCACGGGCCATACTGTCCATAGCCCCATACACATGCACTAATTCATGAATTTAAACTTTAATATCATTATTTTAATTGTCTTTTTCCTTTGAGAGGACATGCACTAATTCATGAATTTAAACTTTAAATACTACTGCATATGTATATTAATAAAATTAATTACATGGGGCTACATACATCAGACCAAGAAATAATGATGGTAAGTAGCAATTTATTTCCACTCAAGTAATTAATCCGTATTAGATATGTCATATTCAATAATATGTTCTATAAACATACACATAAAAAATGGACCTGCATCTCAAAATGAAGTATAAATATTGATGAAAACCATTTATACTTATACGAACTACGTAATAAAATGATACATATAATTATTGTTAGTGTACGTAGTAGTTATCTATATAGTGTTTATTACATAAGCATATTACGTATATCTAATTGTATTATCTATGCAAACCATTAACTAATTAATTTTAAATTAATTATGGTGTAGTTCATCCATGGCTAATATTAGCAAAAGAGAGTTCGACGTCCTTGATTTATGTCACGCCCCGGACCTACCCGGACACGTCAACAACCCGCCGTACAGTACGAATAGTCAACCGCAGTCCAACTCATCCATACTATACAAGGCGTCTTGAATACCATTCACACATAGTACATCCATAAACAAGCATAATGTAAATCATTCATTTAAAACAGCGGAAGCATTTAATAAAGATGTCTTGGCCACACTTTGGCAAACATGGGCATACAAGCCCCCAAATAGTTATTCAAAAATAGTATCCATGAGCATTGTTATAATTGTTTTGAAAACAGGAAACAGAAGAAGCACGAACCACGTCTTCTCCCTTGGAAATCCCTGAAACAACGGGCGCCGGTAGCAACCTTCAAGTCCTACCTGAAACTGTGAGGTGGCCTCCCCCGTGAAGGGGAGGTCAGTACTTGGAAATATTTGACAAGTACAATAGCAACTATACTAAGTATAATCAACGTTTTAATTTCCAAGACCCCCGTCTTAGGGTACTATTATATTATAGGCCATAACCCTCGGTTACCCCTTTTTACCTTTAACTGTACTTACTTTACATAAAGTCAAGTAGACGGCCCGTAGGCCCATATTCATTTAGAATTCACCATTCCCATTCCCCCGTGACCGCGAGTCACGATAACCCCGTGGGGTCCCATCGAGCCCCAATTGTATAGCATGGGCTCGGCCCAACTACATCTCTATACAATCCTCTAACTCGATGTATCATATCAACATTTGTATGGCAAGGGCTCGGCCCAACTACGTTTCCATACCAACCATAACTTCGTGGCAAGGGCTCGGCCCAACTACGTTTCCACGGAGGTCACATATACATGGCAAGGGCTCGGCCCAACTACGTTTCCATGCTAATCATATTACATGGCATGGGCTCGGCCCAACTACATCTCCATGTCATCCTAGAGTCCAACTCTAATTATTCTCATAATCAAATTCTCAAGCAAGCCCTATGCCTAGAATCAATTCCCGTAGGTGGCCTTTAGGCCTACCCCTGTGACACCTTAGTGTTCATACCATTCATCCTTAAGTATCTCTTGAGACTACTTAAGGCATATCTATTCACAATCCTACCTCTTAGGATTTGTTTCATCATTTATTTATATTAATTCCCCGACTAGTATTTTGATACTAATTGGATAACCTTAGAACATGCCAAGTTCCTATTTCCCAATTTGCATTTCATTTCCATTGATTTCTCAACCCAAATATAGTTTAATCTCAATACCAAAAATATCACTTTAATCCATTCATGAATTTCATACATGAAGTAAAGTATATTTTATCACAATGTCATCATAGTAATTCCATTAACAAGCCGTTCCATTCATTTCACATGATCATACACAATTATTCTAAATTTGTATATCATGCTTCACTTACTCATATCCATGTTATTTTCATTTAGGCATTATTAATCATTAATAATCCATGAAAATCCCATCTAATTACTTTAGGCATTCTTATGAAATTAACTCACTAATTATAAGCAATATAGTCAGCCATCCTCACCTCGTGATGTGCTACAATAGTTGCCTTTGTTACGACCCTCGATCAATCCCCGTTCTAGGCCGATTGAAAGGCAAAACTGGACTGCCTGGGCAAAATCCGGGCGGCTTTCACGAAAGCCGGGCGGCTTTCGTGTTCTGCAGAAAACGGGCAGCTCCCTTAAAGTGGCGGTTTCCGGCGATTTCGACTCCTATCGATTCACCAACTCTTCTCAGTTAAATATCACCACTTTATATCAATATTCTACACTTTTAAACGTGTAGAACATCATGTTTAATCCACCATATGATTTCTCAAAAAAATCATACACAAAAACTAGTTACAAGAACTATTTGAGTTCTCACCTTAATTCCTAGCCTTTTTGGGTTGGATTTCCTTTGCTCCTTGCTTCCTTCAAGCTATGAGCTTTGTGAGGGTCTTCTCCTGAACTTCTTTCCTTGCCTTGGTCGTATGATTGAGGGTGAGAAATGATAGGAGACAACTCTCCTCAATCAAATGGGGAGTTATTGTGTAGGACATGGGATTTGGCCTCCATCCATCCCCTCTACCCATAGTCCGAACCCAGCCCCCCTTCCTTGTCTCTTCCAGCTCCCATTCAGTCAATTGGAGCAAATAAAAACGTGGGGTGGCCCCCACTTTGGTGGGAGGTCATCCCGTTATGTCCCGGTGTGTCCAATCGGCCCCGAAAGTTGTATTTTTCGGACTACTTTAGTCATACTTTATTTTATCGGGCCGGATAAAATATACCACGCGTTCCCAACAATGTTTGGGCCTTTAGAAACGATGTACATTCCCCAACATTAATTTAGGAGTCCCCGAAACTCATTTCGGGCTGTTATCCGCTAAATCACCAATACCGGTAATTGGGCCCGTTTGACCAACCGGTCAACTCCATGCCTTTATTATGGCCCAAACAAAATATCCACCACCATATATATATTATCTAGACCAAGATGAATATAATATGTGGTTCGGGATTTATCGGGCGGTCCCCGTTCCCGCTGTGGGCTCCACATGCAATTTACTATTCACGTAAAAGAAATAATAAAAATTTACAATTACGCAAATTCATAAATCATCTTTCAAGGTTTGTTACATAATTTACTAAAAGTAAATATGCTCGGGGTCGGTGTTACAATTTATCTGGTCAAAAGTACTTGGAATGGAAAGTTGACGCTTTGGCACATTTAAAAGCAAATGCCCTCGAAAACACAATTGCTGAAAATAATTCAGCTACTCCCCAAAATAAGGCAAAAGCCATTATCTTTCTTCGTCATCATCTTCATGAAAGTTTGAAGTCTGAGTATTTATTGGTAGATGACCCTAAAGAATTATGGGATAATCTCCAAGAAAGGTATGGCCATCAACAAAAGGTCCTTTTACCAAAAGCTCAATATGACTGGATCAATTTACGATTCCAGGATTACAAATCTATAAGTGACTACAATTCTGCCTTGTTCCAAATAACATCAAAATTGAAGTTATGCGGACAAAAAGTCACTGATGCCGAAATGTTGGAAAAAACTCTATCCACTATGCATCTTTCAAATATGCTTTTACAAGAGCAATATAGACAAAAGCACTTTCAAAAGTATTCTGATTTAATATCAGTATTACTACTTGCTGAGACGAATAATGACATTTTGATGAGAAACCACAATATGAGACCCACAGATTGTAGCCCTTTTAGTTTTGGTCCACAAAATCATGGTTCAAAACATGAATCAAATGCAACCCATAGTGGTGCTCGTGGACATTTCAAACGTGGTCGTGGTATTGGTCGTTATAATGGACCTAGCCGGGGAAACAAACAGAGTAGTAGCTCTTACAAAGGCAAGGGAAAGCAAAACCCCCATCAAACAAGAGGCCCGACGAAATCTTCAGAAAAGGCTAAAGTCACTTGTTTTAAATGTGGCACGTCAGGACATTGGGCAAATAAGTGTCGCACACCTACACATTTGGTTGACTTATATAAATCATCTCTAAAAGGAAAGAATGTGGAAACTAATTACGTCAACGAAAACGTTCCACCAATGCCCACATTTAATATGTCTGATTTCTATATGGATAATAATGAGATGAACACTGACATCGTCATGGGTGAAAAATAATAATAATAAAAATGAAATTATTCTGTTATGTAATATATTCTACAATAAAAGTTTGTTGTATTGTAATTTTTATTTGATATGCTTGTTTCGGTTGTAAAAGTTATGTACATTTTAATGAATAAATTCTTGTTTATATTGCAATATTGAACTAATATTTGTTCATTTTTATCTTTTTAAAGATATGGAGTTAACTGAAATTTCTCCAAATGGCTTTGAACAATGTTTAATAGACAGTGCCACAACGCACACCATTTTGAGACATAGAGATTATTTTTCTCATATGACATTAGTTGATGCTAATGTCAATACAATCTCAGGTGTTGCTAAACTCATTGAAGGTTCTGGAATAGCCTGTGTAATTCTCCCAAAAATGACAAAATTAATAATTAAAGACGCTTTATACTCCAGTAAATCACGGAGAAATCTTTTGAGTTTCAAAGATATGCGTCTAAATGGTTTTCACATTGAAACCATGTCTGAAAATCAAAAGGAATATTTATGTCTAACAACAAATAGATCTGGAAATAAATACATTTCAGAAAAAATGCCAGCATATTCCTCCGGACTATATTATACATATATCAGTCCAATTGAGATAAATGTGGTATCTAAAATTAATGACCACAATTCCTTTATCTTGTGGCATGACCGTTTAGGTCATCCAGGCAGCACTATGATGCACAAAATTATTCAAAATTCACTTGGACATTCATTAAATAATGTCAAAATTCCACAATCAAGTGATTTCTCATGCACAGCCTGTTCTCTTGGCAAATTAATTATCAGGCCATCTTTATACAAAATTGGAGTTGAATCTCCTGCATTTTTAGAAAGAATTCAAGGAGATATTTGTGGGCCAATTGCCCCTCCGTGTGGACCCTTTCGATACTTTATGGTGCTCATTGATGCATCAACACGTTGGTCACACGTCAGTCTTTTATCGACTAGAAATTTTGCATTTGCAAATCTCCTTGCTCAAATTATTCGTTTGAGATCACAATTTCCGGATTTTTCAATAAAGAAAATCCGACTTGATAATGCAGGGGAATTTACATCCCAATCTTTTAATGACTATTGCATGTCAATTGGGATTGATGTGGAACACCCAGTTCCACATGTGCATACACAAAATGGTCTTGCTGAATCCTTAATTAAGCGATTACGATTAATTGCTAGACCATTATTGATGAAATCCAGATTACCATCATCTGCATGGGGATATGCTATAATGCATGCTGCAAATTTAATTAGGCTCAGGCCAACTGCATATCATAAATTTTCCCCATTGCAATTAATATCTGGTAAAGAACCAAATATATCACACATAAAAATATTTGGTTGTTCTGTGTATGTACCAATTGCTCCACCTTATCGTACTAAAATGGGTCCTCAAAGAAGGCTGGGAATTTATGTTGGTTTTAAATCTCCCTCAATTATTAATTATCTAGAACCTATGACTGGTGACTTATTCACCGCACGGTTCGATGACTGTCATTTTGATGAAACAGTATTCCCAACCTTTGGGGAGATAATAAAGAAATGGACCCACGTACGGAAGATATTACTTGGAATGCAACAGGTTTATCTTTTCTTGATTCTCGCACAAATGCTTGTGAACAAGAAATTCAAAAGATCATTCATTTACAAAGTGTTGCAAACCAATTGCCTGATGCTTTCACAGACTCAAAGAAAGTGATGAAGTCACATATTCCAGCTATGAATACTCCTTCTCGAATAGAAATTCCTGCGGAGATTAGCGAAAGAACTCTTGCTAATGAATCTATGATACGTAAAAAACGTGGCAGACCACTTGGTTCAAGAGATTTGAAACCAAGAAAATTGAAAAAGCAAGATGTAGTTTGTGATGCCAAAGAAGTTCAACCTTCTCAAGAAGAAAATGAACATTATGATAATATTGGCATTGAAGATAACATCAATAATAAGGATACCTCAAAAGAGGATCCAATCACCTTTGAAGAGGTAAATATTCCAGATACAGATAGAAACGTTGATAATTTTGAAATTTCAATCAATTACGTTTCTAATGGAATGCAATGGAATAGAAAAGATATTGATGTTAACGATATATTTTCATATGCCATCGCCACAGATATAATGAATGAACACGATGACAATGAGCCTAAATCTATTGACGAATGTCGTCGTAGAAACGATTGGCCAAAATGGAATGAAGCAATTCAGGTAGAACTAAAATCGCTAGAAAAGCGTAATGTTTTTGGACCAATTGTCCACACGCCAAAAGGCGTAAAACCTGTAGGTTTTAAATGGGTGTTTGTGCGTAAACGCAATGAGAAAAATGAAATCGTTAGATATAAAGCCCGACTTGTTGCCCAAGGTTTTTCTCAAATGCCAGGAATCGATTATGATGAGACGTATTCTCCAGTAGTTGATGCTACTACTTTACGATTTTTAATTGGCATGTCTGTTTTTGAAAGGCTGCAAATGCGGTTAATGGATGTAGTGACCGCATATTTATATGGTTCACTCGATACAGATATATATATGAGAATTCCTGGAGGCTTTAAAATACCTGATGCTTATAGCTCGAAATCTCGAGATTTATTTTCCATAAAATTGCAAAAGTCATTATATGGATTAAAACAATCTGGACGCATGTGGTATAACTGTCTAAGTGAATATTTGATTAAAGAAGGATACAAAAATGATCCTATTAGTCCATGTATTTTCATTCAGCGATCTGAATCAGGATTCGCCATAATTGCAGTATATGTTGATGATTTGAATATAATCGGAACTTCCAATGAAATTGAAAATACTGCTAAATATCTCATGAAAGAATTTGAAATGAAAGACCTTGGGAGAACAAAATTTTGTCTCGGCATTCAAATTGAACATTTGAGAAATGGTATTTTTATCCACCAATCAAATTATACCGAGAAACTTTTGAAGCAGTTTTACATGGAAAAAGCTCACCCACTCAATTCCCCGATGGTGGTTCGATCTCTCAATGTGCATGATGATCCTTTTCGACCTTGTGAAGATGATGAAGAAATCCTTGGTCCCGAAATACAATATTTGAGTGCTATTGGAGCGTTAATGTATTTGGCTAATAATACACGACCAGATATTGCTTTTTCTGTAAATTTATTAGCCAGGTACAGTTCTTCTCCGACAAGAAGACATTGGAATGGCGTCAAACATATATTCCGCTATCTCAATGGTACAATCGATCTTGGATTGTATTTCAAGAATGGTGCAAATGCCACTTTAATTGGCTATGCCGATGCAGGATACTTGTCTGACCCACAAAAGGCAAAATCACAAACAGGATATGTATTCACCTATGGTGATACCGCTATCTCATGGAGATCAATGAAGCAAACATTAACCGCCACATCATCAAATCATGCAAAATTAATTGCTCTTTATGAAGCAGGTCGAGAATGTGTCTGGTTTAGATCAATGATCCAGCACATACAAAATGAATGTGGTATAAAATCTTTTACTTGTAATCCTACTGTGATTTATGAAGATAACACAGCATGTATAGCTCAGATCAAAGGAGGTTACATCAAAGGGGATAGAACAAAGCATATAGCACCAAAACTTTTCTCCACACATGATCTTGAGAAAGAAGGAACAGTTGATGTCAAACAAATCAAGTCCTGCGACAACCCTGCTGATTTATTCACAAAGTCATTAGCACCGAAGAAATTTGAAGAACTGGTCCACAAAATTGGAATGTGTCATCTTCGAGATATATGTTAAATTGAGGGGGAGTAATATAATGCACTGCACTCTTTTTCCCTTCGCCAGGATTTTATCCCACTGGGTTTTTCCTGACAAAGGTTTTTAACGAGACAGTATATTATAATACTATGATACTAATACCCTAGAATAATTAGAAGATGACCATTCAAGGGGGAGTGTTGAAATATATTGAATTAGTCATCTTCCAACTATTCCTGATTAGGAATACTTATCACCATTGTATAAATAATTAGGAAATCATAATTATGATTCTAGATGATAATTGTGTGGTTCACAATTATCCTCTAATCCTAATAAGCTTAGCTTTTCTCCTATAAATAGAAGTCTTCTCCATTGTAATCAACACACCTTCATTACACCATTATCACACTCTCTAATACACCTCTATCACTAAGTGTTCTACTATACTTTCTCTCCCTGATCTTCTGCTCATTTCCTTCCATATTATAAAATACTTTTTATTTTCCTTCCTTTTCTTCTTTCTTGTACGGGCTACACATGTCTCTTCCCCTTCCCGTCACTACCAGCTTCCTCTTTTTTCATTTTTTCATCTCTGTTTGATAACTCCATTTGGTTTGAAAATTGATTTGAAATTTTTATTTTGGTGGATCTTTAATAGGGCTATGGATATTGCCATGTCAGCCAAATAGGCTAAAATATACCCCCAACTGAACTGTCTATATATTTTGTGACGCTGAGCTGGAGTAAAAAAAAGTGCACACCGTCCGCTCCCTCTTCTATTTTCATCAAGGATGTTAGACAGTAGCAAACAATTTTTTTCACCACAAATTTTGAAAACTGAAAAATCCTCAACCGAAAATCAAATCATTTACTACGTTTTTGCATAAAGTACTTTCTTGGCACCTTCTTCAAAATCCTCATCGAGAACAGAAAATCAATCACATCTAGTATTTTCAACTGATTTGAATTTTCCAATTAGTTTTTCTTCTGATTTTTCTTTGCGATTGTAATCACAATATTGATTCATATTTTTATTTTTATATGAATGGTTATATATTCATCCTCAAAGTTTAAAAGGTTAGTTACGGTGAGCAGTAACATTACCTGAAACCTGCGGCAATTTATGTGGGAGATGGAGTACTGGTCCGTTTTTCTTGTTATGGCTCATTGGCTTTGGAGAAGAAAGTTTGAAGAAGAAAAGCCACCGTTGGAGGTGATATTTTAATTTTAATTGGTTGTGTGTCCACGTCACCTGTTCACAATAGCTAGTGATGTGTCCATTTTTAATGGGATGCAGAGTTTCTTTGTTTGTTTGGTTGGATTTCTATGTTTTGCAGCTCCACAGGTCGGGACTCAAGTTAATTCCGCAGGAGAAGAGGTGACCGGCGGCGAGGCGATCGACGGTGAGGCAACCGACAGTAAGGCGACCGGCTGCGAGACGAAGGCGAGATGAAGAGGAGTGACTGGAGACGAGATGAGTAGACGATGTCCGGTCTCCGACCCGAAGGAGTTAGCGACGCTGGCCTGAGGGTGAGTCGAACATGGAACCCTCAAAGTCTGCCCCTGAAAAACGAGACAGCATGACCACTGCGAGGTAGAAGGAAGGAAAGAAAAGAAAAGAAAGATAAAAAGAAATAGAAAAGGGGAAAAGAAAATAAATGCCACGCAGATCGCCACATATGTAGGTAACCGGGAGACCGATTGTTAACCTGCTAAACGGCTCAATTGGACGTTCTTAGGAGTACATGGTTTCAATTGGATGTTTATAGTGCACGAGGGCTTAACCGACATTTCCGCTATAGTATGAAGGTTTATTTGACCGTTCTCCCAAAAAAATAATTATGTATACATCCAAATGAATAATGTAGTTGTATGTGTGATCAATTTAAATGTAATTTGAAAAAATTAGAAAAAATAATAAAAATAGATGAAATAAGATGAATAAACTGATTTTGTGCAAATGATGAAAAAAATTTGATATAAAAAGGTAGAGAAAAAGAGGATAGAGAATGGAAGAAAAGGATGAAGAAGGAAAGATGATCATCCAATATATTTTTTTTGAGAATTTTCGAAGGGATTAGATAAAGAGGAAAGAGAGAAGGGAATGGGGGATAAGCGAGAGAGAAGAGGGAGCGGGAAAATGAGATTTTTTTTGCTTTTATACTAAGAATTTTCCATATTTTTTACTTCTTTTAAATCTTAAACACATGTTGTATATTCTATATTGTAGAGTGAAAACAAAAGTTCTATGAAACTTTAGGATGTTTACTTTTGGATTGTTTTTAGTCCCAGATGAGACAAAACCAGACCAGATCAGATCAGACTTAAACAGAACAAATCAAACTATACCAGATTTGAACAATTATAAAGTACATAGAGACCAGATATTTATCAAACCAGACGAGTTCAAGCAAGACCAAACTTAAACAGACCAGAACACACCATACCAGATCAAGCAAGACCAGACTTACAATCCAAAAGAAAAAAATCCTTATATGCAACGCGCGCACACACATATATACATTAATTATTCAATTTTTTAATACACTCATGTCTGCTTATGCTTGCTTAACATTATTGATTTTATGATTTGATTTTACATTATCTAAGATTTAGTTTATTTGGGATAAGCAATGCTTAAATATGGAAATGTCATAAATAAATTTCATTTCAATAATATTTTTGTGAAATCTTCTTCGACTAATCAGGCATTATCATCTATCTCTGTGCAAGCAGCAAACACGAGTGTATAAGCGGGTGTTTGGAATTGATTTTGCTTATGTTTCTTCTTTAAAAGCAAAATCAGAATAAGAATCAGTTTCTCAAAAGCTGGTCTCCCCCAGTTTCTAAAAAACTGCTTCTATGAGCAATTTGGAGCTGATGGATTGCTGACCTTGGGGGTAGCCGGAATCCAGGAAATTAGAGAGGGAACGGGGAGATTGTCAAGTATAGTCGAGTATTCAATTCAACATTGTAACATCAAGAGAATTCCATACCGGATCCCTTTCCACGTGTTGGAAGGTGATATTTATACTAAAAGGTAATACTTGGTGTCCAAGTAATAAAGATGTATTCTATTGTGATGAGGACATGTGTCACACATGCCTAATAGAATAATCAGACTAATCTAATAGTACGGTGACACGTGTAAAGGTGATTGGAGGGATAAATGGGACAACTGGCTGATTGGAACTATGCATAACAGATTTTTACCAGAATATACATGTAGGTTACACGTGTATTATCCAGAATATTCTTCATCCCATCCGTTTGGGGTGATGTGGCGCTTCATATAATGCTGATGAGACCCTGAGCTCCTGGAGGTCAGAGCTTGGGAGGCTTGAGCTCATTTTTGGAGGATTTTTCTCTGCTCTTCGGTTTTGTCAGATAGCGGTGATTCTTCTGTTGACTTCAGTTGACTCTGGTTGACCTTGCGTCAGTGGGACATGTCAAAGTTGGCACCGACCTCGGCGTACCCGAGGTCGGTCTCATATCTTGCCTTATCTGGGCGATCCCCGAGCTCGGCTACCCGCGGGTCGAGGTCGTGCTCAGCTGGATTTCTGGCTTTTGTCAATCCACTACCTTGTATCTTTTCCCGACCTCAAGTGTCGAGGTCGGCCTCGACTGGAACTTCGGTACTTAGGTGTTTTGAGATGTTTGGGAGCCTTTTGTCCACCGATTATGGTACCCCTGGGGTATATGGAATATACTCCATTATGAGTCCCCCACTCTCCGAAGCGAAAGTGACACTTGAGGTGACAGATAGTAAATCTTCAATCTTCTGGGCTGGTGCGCTCGGATGAGGCACTTCTCTCCATGATCACAACAAAGGGGTGCGTCATTAAAAACTCCGTTGAGGAAATAAAACCTGTGGGAAAAAAATCCTAACGGAGGAAAACAAGTACACTACACTTTGAAATGATATCCGGAGAAGAAGGTGACGCCCCTTTGCAAATGGATATGAGCTTGAATGTTCCTGTTATGCTGTTCTAATTTCCTGTTTTTGGAAGTTAGTTGCTACGTCCACGGTCTTGACCGAGGGTTGATAAGATTTTACAAATCTTCAATGTTTAAATTAGTACACACACACACACACACACACACACACACATATATATATATATATATATATATATATATATATATATATATATATATATATATATATATACAGACACACACACACACACTCTCTCTCTCTCTGTATATATAGAGTCATTCTCAGGTCCGAACGTTCGGACCTGAGGTGCCGTCCGAACACCGCCGTTCGGCAAGGTTTCCGGTGGAATTTTTAGATGAAATTTTTATGGTATGTTTTTCATCAAGTGTAGTTTATCGACAAAACATTTCAGCTTAAAATTCAACCGGGAAAGCCATCAAATAATTTTTTGAAGTTAACTGCGCTTTTCTATGTATAATTTTGCACAATTATCTTCCAAAAATTATTTGACGGTCTTTCCTATAGAATTTTGAGCTGAAATGTTTTGTGGATAAATTAGACTTGATGAAGAACATACCATTAAAATTTCATCGAAAAATTCCACCAGGAACCACCCCGAACGGCGGTGTTCGGACGGCGCCTCAGGTCCAAACGTTCGGACCTGAGAATTTTCACACACACACACACACACACACACACACACACACACACACACATATATATATATATATATATATATATATATATATATATATATATATATATATATATATATATATATAGAGAGAGAGAGAGAGAGAGAGAGCGGATCAGGTAAGAAGTGCCCTTAGACTGAGAACTGCGAAGTTTAACTTATAGACTAAAAACACGAACTCTTAACTAATAAATCATAACTTATAGACCCCCTCTAAAATAATTACGAAAATGCCACCGCAAAAAATATCTCTAAAATAATTACGAAAATGCCACCCCCTCTAAAATAAGTATAGCGTTTTCTCAAAACTTTTTCAAGTATAGTGTTTTCAATACTTGTCTTTTTTGAAACTTTGAGGGCTTTTATGATTTAGTCTAAGCCCCCTTGTATGTGAAAGATATTTGATTGAGGTCACGAAGTGGACCCCACTTTCTTATTTTGGGAAACTTCTGCAATTTTTCTAAGTTTATGCTGTTTTAAAGCATTTCCTCAGATTCCTATAAAATATTTTGCATAGTGTTAAGCTATGATAGCCATACTCCAATGCTTGTTTAGCTTTTTTCAGGATTTCACAACTTGTCCCAGTAGCTTTTATATGTAAATAGAACCTGGAAAGTTGGCCCTGCCGATGTGGCTTAGCTTGGGAAGTTGGCTGAGCTTTCGCCTGTGTTGCTATGAGGTCTTCTTCGAGCTCAGCATGGCTTTGTATGGATTTTTTGTTTTATTCAGTCCGGACTTTAATTCCAGACTGTCCAGCTTGCGTCAGTAATTTAGAGAGTTGCCTCCTTCCTGACCGTGAGAATGATGTGAGAGCTCGGCTTTTTGGTATTTGTACGAGAGCCCGGAGTTTGATCGGAAGCGAGAAGTGCTCTCAAGGTCAGGACAATCAAATAGTCCAACCTCGTGGCAAGTACCACTTTTTTAGGGAGGTTCATCCTCACACTTACTTAGTAAATGTGAGAACTTACTCCTCAAGGGGTGGGCTAGGAAGTGGCCCAACCCTTCGGCTTAGCCTCTACCCCCACCCCCCACCGCCGCCTTTAATGCTAAAAGGGGAGACACATATTTATAGGGAGTCGTAAAGGCTAATGTCACTATTTTGAGGGCTTACATAATTGCCTCGATTTTATCCCAAGGGCTTACATGGTGGACTTAGGTTGAGTATAGGGAGTCGTAAAGATTATTATCCCTTGTATTTTTTAGGACTTACAAAGTCACCTCGGTATTGATTGTTGGCTGATAAGCCTGTTTTGTGCGAGGGCTTACAAAGTTGCCTCAGCTTGCTGGAGCTTGGAACTTGATGTTGGAGGGCTTGTAAATCGCCTCAAGGCTATTTGGTTTTATGAATTCTTCCCTTACTGATTGTAGTTTGCCATGAATGGCTTATAGTGTATGGATAAGGCTGCTAGCAATGACCCAAGATTTCCAGTGCATGAAAATGTACCAAGTCTCCGTTGGCGAGGGCTCGTTGTCACCTCATACAGTCGTCGAGTCACTGGTAGTACCTCACAAGGTGTTGCACATTCCACAATCTTGGAATTCACATGCCCTTATATGTGCTAAGTTTATAGGTCCCGGGGTAGACCACTGTGGTAATGATGTAAGGGCCCTCAAACCTCTTGGCCATCTTGTCGTCCTCTGTGGGTTGGCTAGCTGTACGTCTTCTGAGTACATAGTCCCGGTCCCTACTTGGAAATCTCGACCTCGGACCCGAGCGTCATAGTAACTCTTTAATTACTTGGGGCCGATAATTCTCTGCTCTGATGAAGGCGTTTTCTCTATGCTCATCAATCGGATTGAGATCAATCTGCATGTTTTCCTCATTCTGCTTGGGGTCGTAAGCAATAATCCTTTGTGTTGGCAGTGTGACCTTGGTGGGAGCCTTGGCTTGAAAGCCATAACAGAGCGAGAATGGAGTTTCACCTATTTCTCTTCGAGGTGTTGTCCTATAAGCCCACAGTGTGTTGTGGAGCTCTTCAACCCATCCTACGCCCTCGTCGGTGAGTTTCTTTTTTAGGCCCTCGGGGATGGTGCGATTCACGTTTTCAACTAGCCACCATAATCTAGTTTGATTATGGTAAGCGACGGAGATTGTGGTATGTTTGATTCCCCAACTAGCCACCATAATCTGAAAATTCTTGGCCTCGAACTGAGTGCCATTGTCGGTGACGAGCTGTTGTGGCACACCGAAGTGAGTGAGGATATTCTTGATGATGAATTTCCTGCAGCGTGCCTCGGTTATGCTGCCTAGTGGTTCTGTTTCCACCCATTTGGTGAAGTAGTCTATTCAAACAATTATCCACCTAAAGTTGTCTGTGCCCCGAGGTAGTTGTCCAACGAGGTTGACACCCCATCTTGAGAATGGAATGGTCGTGCTTATGCGAGCGTTGTTTACTGCTAGGCATCCCATGGCCTTTTGAAATTGTTGGCAAGCATTGTAAGTGCGGGCCATGCGTGC